CACGATCACGAACATGTCTAGGCATTCCTTGAATACCAGGTACGAACTCGTAGTGACCGTACCTTATCCTAAACGCTGTTTTTGGTACGTCTTTATCATTATCCTAATTTGGTGGTAACCGGACCGAATATCTATCTTGGAGAATCCAGTTGCTTCTCTGAGTTTATCAAACAAGTCTTCTATTCGTAGGCAGAGGATATTTGTTTTTTATGGTTCTCTTATTTAGCTCTCTGTAATCGATGCACAGTCGCATCAATTCATCTTTCTTCTTAACAAACAACACTGGTGCACCCCAGGGGGACACGCTAGGTCGAATGAATCCTTTATCTAGTAAGTCTTGCAATTGCGCCTTGAGTTCCTTCAACCCTACGGGCGCCATGTGATAAGGTTCTTTAGAAATAGGCCTAGTTCTCGGCTCGAGTTCGATGACGAAGTCGACCGCTCAAAAAGGGGGTATTCCAAGTAAGTGGTCCGGAAATATATTTGGGAACTCGTTTACTATTGCCACGTTTACTAGGGTCTTTTCCTTTCCTCTTACGTCTATAGCACATGCTAATATAGCCCATCCACCTTGTTGGACTAACCTCTTTGCTTTCATCATCGAGACTATCTTGGGGGTAATCCCGGTACTTGTGCCTTTAAATTTAAAGGTAGGTCCTGTCGGTGGTGAAAATTTTACTTCCTTTTTGCGACAGTCTATACTAGCTCGGTTTTCAGCTAGCCAATCCATGCCTAGTATGCCATCGAAATCCGTCATGTTTACCACCATCAGGTCAATGCTTAAAGTTTGGTTCACCATGATTACTTGGTCATCCTTTACTCTATCCCTAGATACTAAGTCTACCCCCACAGGGGTGCTTACAGACATTTCATGCAATAAGGGTTCTAATTCAAACCCTGCTTGTACAACAAAAGGCATGGAAATAAAGGAATGCGTGGAACCAGAATCAAATAAGGTAAAAGAGAAATGACCTAAAATGGATAGTGTACCTGTCACCACGGCGTCGGACCTCCCAGTGTCCTTGCTCGTTGATGCGTAGGCCCTAACTTGAGCTCGTGGTGGTGCTGGTTGTTCCGTTTGCTCTACTACTCTGGGCGGGTTTGCTTGTTCTGCAGCATTTCCGGCCGTGCAATTCACGGCGATGTGCCCCTCTTGACCACATATATAACACGCTCGGCTACCAGCCATGCACCTCCCACCGTGTAGTCTTCCATAGATAGTCCACCCTTCCTCTCTCCTCCCTCTAGCCCCATCTTGATTCCTGGGGTTCCTGTCAGTACGTCAAGGAGGGTGTTGTTCATTCCATCTAAGAGCGGATCTGTTATTGGAACGGTGCCTACGTGCTGTTGGTGGACGGTCAGAGCCTCCTGATTCATGAGGACACTTCTGCTCAATTACTACTGGCTCCTCACGTCGTTTCTCGTCCTTTGGTTTCTCTAAAGCCTTGGCAGTTCTCTAGGCTTCCTCATAGGTCTTTGGGTTGAATGCCTCCAACATGCGGCGGATTCTTGGTTCCAGACCCAATATAAACTTCTCTGTCATCTTTCCTCAGTGTCCACCATGGACGGCGCAAATCTCTTGAGTCTCTTAAACTCTCAGTTGTACTTCTCCACTGTGAGTCCACCCTGTACCAGGTGGGCGAACTCCTGTTGTCTTTTAAGTCGCTCTGACTTAGGATAATATTCTTTAAGGAAGGCCTCCTTAAACCGTTCCCAATTCACAGGTCTCCCTTCTGGTTTAAGAAAGGTTTTGTTATCTCTCTACCATATCTCTACGTCCTTTTGTAAGACAAATGTTGCACAGGCGACCTTTTGGTTCTCTAGGCACTCCATAGTCTCAAAGGTGGTTTCTACCGCTGCAATCCACATTTGGGCTTCTATAGGGTCTATTAAGGAACTAGTGAATGGTCGAGGGTCATATCTCTTGAAATCCCTTATCCAGTTTGAACATCTAATAGGTTGTGGAGGGTTTGCTGGGACGTTGGCTTGAGCATTGGCCTGTGCTTGTGCCTGCACCAGTGCCTGCGCCTGTGCTTAGGCCTGTTCCTGAGCCTGTTGTAAATTGGCTTGCTGAGTGGTTACCAAGGTTTGAATTAGGGCTTGGATGGAGTCACACATTAACTTAGTGTTAGCATCTACTCTAGGCACCGGGGGTGCAGCTTTAGGTGCGGCTTGGAGTGGTAGGGTAGGCTGGGTGGAGGTTCAGCTTGTGGTGGAGGCTCAGCTTGGAGTGGTGGCTCTAAAGGTGGTAGCTCAACTAGTGGTAAGACTGGGGGCGGTGTAACTGTTACCGACCCAGTTTCTGATCTTTCTCGAGGTGGGCCCTCGACTACCACACCTCGTCCTATTTCTCCACGACAAGGTCGTCCCCATCCTCGTCTTCCTCTTCCCCTTCCTCTTCTTCGTCCTCTTGGCATGGTTCTATAAACCAATATAAGGTTGCTTAAGTCTAAGGCCTTAATACTATGCATATATAATTAAAAATATACACATTATACGATACATCGTAACGCCACAGAAGTAAACACTCATCATGTTATTCATCATATCATACTCATTGATAATTACTTGAAATACCCCAAAAATTTCAATAACATCCACATCATGAGATCATGCTAAACATCACATAACTTCAGTAATATTAACATAAAATGCACGCGAATTTTAAAACGTTTCTCTTTTCTTATCTTATGCAAGGTGTACCTGACGGTGACAGCGAAGGTGTTAATATAACACATGCGAAAGCAATTTGGATCTTAGGAACTTTTAGAACATCAATTATAGTAAATAACTAGCATCTTCATAAGAATTAAAACTTAACGAGTTTGAATACTAACCTTTTGTAGTTCAAATTCCTTTTTCCTCATGAACCGGTTTCGAACCACCACTAGTGTCTTCTCCACAATCCTCCAGCCTTAGAACAGGATTGTGGAATCCGGTGAGTGACTAAACTTGGGAGGGATTTTGTATATATGAAGAGAGTGTTCGTGAGAGGTTTTTCTCAAGGTTTTTCACCAACAAGAAGAACTTTCATGTATTATGATCACTCTATTTATAGAGTCATGTTTGCATGTTCATGCAAATTTGAGATCACCAAATTTTGACACTCAAAATTCCACTCAAATTCGTGGGGTTTATTTGGCAAACATGCAAGTTTGGTTAAACCAAATTTTGACACCTCAAAATTTCACTAACATGAATTTTTCCATTAAATGAAGTCAACATTTTGACTTTATTTATTTTAATTCAATAATCCATTTGAATTATTAATTTCAAATTAAAGTAATATTAAATGATTAATTAAACTATTTACTTAATATTTAATATTAATTCAAATGTCAATCCCAATTAATTCCGACACATATTTGATTAAAATATTTAAATCTTATTTAAAGATCTCATATTCTCTCTTTTTGTTTAATTCGTAAATAAAACAAAAATGCGGTTAAATATATTGTATATATGTAGCACAGTCTCCCTAATTTGAATTCGAACACTTCGAACTCACTCGTCACACTGTTCTATGGTTTAGTCCATTATGAGCTAGCAGAGGGACCTAATGGACCTATAGATCATGGGCTCCAACGATCCAAGATTAACTGGTTAAACTCATTAACCTTGTTAACCAACATTCGTTAACTACTAGGACATTCCACTATAGCCTAGTAGTTGCACTCCCCTCACTATAGATATATTTCTGTCCATTTGAAATAATCATGATTAGTAAGTCGATCCTTCACAGGTTGTTCGTAATTAGAGTTTGGTCAATTTACCGTTTTACCCCTGAAGTTACTTCTTGTTCCTTATGTCTCACTGATCCTCTAATGAACAATTGTTTGTGGTCCAACCAATAAACCGAATCCCTCTCAGGCTAATGAGAGGGTGGAGCCCCTTGTTCAAGACCTGGAGTCAGTACTTAAGGGAACTACCTCTCTTCTATCCCTAAAAGTGGGGAGGAGAGAATTCCATCTTGCACCCATAATCCCTAGCCATTTACCCAGTCTTACCCCTGAAATGGGAGGCCTATTGAGTCGGTGAACTTGAGCCACTCTCACCCATGCAAATTTAAGAATAATTCCAAATAAATAGGAGTTCACGGTTAGCTTAGGATTAAGATAGAGTTACCTAGGTCATCGAATAAAAAGAAAATCAGTCTCAACAGTAAACGACATTATAAAGTGAGAGTGATTTTCTTCATGGTCCGATCTTATGCAATACTCATTGCATAGGACTTCCCCACTCACATGTCTCCACATGTAAAATTTAGTGATCACATTGTTTATATCATATACAAAAGTGGGACACATTCATAGTGTTCCCAGAATAAGGTACTCAGCCTTATCCTTATACTATTGATCATTTTACCTATATACTTGAACTTGATCAACTCTTATGTCTCTACATATAGTTCAAGTAATCATACTATAGCCAGAGTGTTCTTAGTTTATTGGATTTAGATTAATGATCGTAAAGTTCAATTTATTCAATAACAATCTTTACTGAATAAACAACAATAATAACTTTATTGAAAATAGAATATGTTTTTGTTTACAAACTATGAGTTTTATGACATAAAACCCAACAAACAAGGCATCGACGTTTGGACCGTGGAGCGTTCCAAACCTACATCGTAGGCTAGTCTACAAGATCTAAAACCTATAGCTTTGATACCAACTGTAACGACCCTAAATTTCCACATATCTAGAGTCGCCACTAATGTCTCATGCTCATCTCTAATGCAGAATATAAATCTAAGAATGCTCATCTTTATTAACGGAAAAATTTTAAACTTCAAAATACGTTCAAACATTAGAAAACATTGCCAAACTTACGTGTTTCAAACATCATGCTAGAGTTCAAAATAAGATAAAAATAATTACAAATTGAATAATTTAAATGAATGAAATGCAAACACCCTATCCTAACCAAGACTAGGAATTTTAAATATGCAACTATCTTATGCACGCGCCACAGTCTCTGATCACGATGTCGTCGTCAACCGTACATGGGTGCCTTGCCTTTACCTGAAAAAAACAATATGGCACACGACCTCAGTAAGTGACCTCACTATAGGGGCCATGCTAATGCAAACACATGCAATCATGAATTAGGGACCCATCTCTAATCATCTTAAGGGTGGTCTCTAGCCTCGGACAAATTGGATGTGTAGTACTTCCCTACACATGACTCACACGTGCGAGTATGAATCCCTAGGGCGCTCGCACACCCCCTAGACCCTCTGGTCAAGCTAATCTGTAGCGAAGTCCGAAGGTCAGCGGAACCCCATAGTGTCATGCACCTCATGAACACCCTCATCTGTGTGCTTTCGCACTTGTGCGCATTCGGGCTCATCATACGGTGCGCGTCCGCACTCATCATCTCTAGGGGAAGTAGCCTTATGCTTATGAACATACAATATGCATGAGGTCCCTTTAAGTCCAATTATACATCTCTTCTGACACAACCCTCTAGTCTCATCTCTTGGATACACTATGTAATACGTGCTCATGGATATTTACATTAATATCATTTTCATACTTTTAGGGTTGTGTCCTATGTCGATCTAACAACATGATGCAATATGGCAAACAACATCATAAGGCATGTTCAACATGGAAAACATCATCATGTTAATAACATCGTCATGCATACATCATACTCATCATAAAAGCCATTAAGTGCATCAAATATAACATGTACGTCATGCATCGAAACGTAAATAGCGTACATTTAACAGACATCACAACACAACGTCATACACACACATCGTCATACACACACATCATCATAATTCAAACAATCTTTAGCCTATCCTATAGTAAGGCCACTTACTTTGTTGGCCTTGGCCGAAGTACTCCCTAAATAGCTAAACGTAAGCTCCTGTTCCGTGAGAGTTGCTTCCTATGTTGCTGGGGTTTGTTTCCTATCACACCGTTCACCATTTTCCATTAGTATTTCACAATTAATTGACCTATAATTCAACCAATGTGAAATACGACTCTAAAATGGCCTCGGATACCTTAATCGGGGCCGAAAACAGATCCAAGAGGGTCGAAACAGTGGAAACCGGGTTGAAAACAGGTGAGCCGAGCCGAACAGCTGCTAGGAGCCACCGAAGCTTCACCGAAGCCCGAGTCGTTTGCGTCGAGCCGAGTCGAGGGACCGCCTGCGCCGCTGTGTGACACATGGCAGCAGAAGAGCGAGCCACGTCGTGCGGTAGCATCGGGTTGAAGTGCAGGTCGCAGTCTGGTTTGGGTTGTGGTCCAGGTCGCGGGCTGTGAAGGCTACTGGGCTAAGACTAATCGTTAGGCCTCGGCTTACTGGGCTGGGTCGCAAGTGTTTGGGTTGCAGGCCGACTCGATTGGACCGTGAGTCTGGTCTCAGGTTGGTTCAACTGAACCGTAGCTTCTGGGCTGGTTTGAAGTTTGGGCCGCTGTAGTTGGGCTGAGCCGAAGGCAGAGGCTGAGGGAAAGAATTGGCTGGCTCTCTCGGGTTTTGGGTTCGGGTTGACCCGAATCCGTGGATCTCATCTTCCTTGCCTGACTTCGGCCGATTTTCAGGCGAGTTTTCTCTCTCCTTCCCGCGGCATTTCTGTTGCCGATTTCGGTCCTCTTTCTTCCTTTTCCTCTTTATTTGTCGTCCTTCTTTCTTTTCTGGGAGTTTTGCGGCCTAAAATTTCCTAAAACCACATATCTAAGAACGATTAGGAAAACAAAATTTTCCGACCTTGGTTACCAACGACGGCGCTTACGAAAATGCACAACACGCACCTTGAGTTATTGTGCTTTCGTTAGGGATCCTTCTCGTGGTGGTAACTGATCATTTGGTGTCGGTTTTTGGGTGGTTTGGGGGCTCGTCGGAGAAGTTGGAAACTCACCGACGTTTATTCGAAATCTCTCTCTCGTATTTTCTTTCTTTTCTCCCTTTGTAGGTATTCTAATAGGTGCTGGGAGTCGTGGGCTGAAGGTTGGGCGTGGTGTGGCCGTTGTTTTGCGTGGGGTCCACAAAACTCGACGATCGCCGGAAAACTCACGAGTTTCCGGTGATTGAGTTTTTTTTTTCTTTCTCGGGTCGTTACAGAAAAGGCACTGGAAAATCATGCTGCGGGTCGAGCGAAGAAGAAAGGATCCAACGAATCTGGGTCACACCAAGATTGGTAAACCAAGGCCCAACACTAACCCGAGGCCCAGTCCATCTGCAGCGGCTCACGCCACAGCACCTTTACTTGCAAGCCCGCGATTCGATTTTGCAACCCACCTCTACAGCCGGTAGAAGCTGAGGCCCAACTTATCTCAACCCAAACTGTAGCCAGCCCGTAACCCGCGTCCCAATCCAACTCTCAACCCTAGGTCCACTAACTGAACCCAATCTGTTAGGGCAACCTACGTCTGTAGACGCGACCCGAAGTTGACCTGAGACCGTGACCCGTAACACGGGCCTCTATCCAAAGTTGTATACACTAACTTGGCCTACTCCTAACGTGCCACATGTCAACCTGAGGTGAAAATAGTCCCTTGGCTCAGCAGCTTGGCTCGTCTCCCGATTACTCTTCGGCTTATTTGGCTTGGGTACCCCTATTTCTACTGTTCCAACCCTCTCGAACCTATTTTCAGTCACGATTAAGGTAATTAACGCCGTTTTAGTGACGTATTTCACGTATTAGTTGGATTATTACTAATTTGTTAAATACTAATGAAAGATGACGAATGGTGTAATACAAAACGTACCCTAATGACATTTGGAAAAGCTCTCGAGGAACGAGAGCTAACGTATAATAATAAGAGAGAATGCCGGCCTAGACCAACCAATTAATAGCCTTACTATAGGATAAGCTAGAAATATTTTATGATGTATGATGATGTATGATGATTTATGATGACGTATTGTGAAGTATGTGAATTGTATGATGTACAACGTATTAGTTGTGACGTATGATGCCGTATTCGAATTATGTAATGATGTATGATGATGTACTTGCGTTATATGTTGATGTATGACATATTTGATGTGCTTGATGAATTTAATGGAATTATGATGACTGTGATGTTTTGCATGAAGTTAACCTTAATATCATGATGTTTTCCATATTAAGCATGTTTTATGATGATGAATGCTATGTTGCATCATGTCGAGAGATCGACTTAGGACACAACCTTAAGAGCATGAGTAATGATATTAACATAAATATTTAATGAGCATGTATTACTAAATGTAATATAGTGATGAAACTCGGGTTGTGTAAGAAAGATGTTTAAGATGAAAGCTAGAGGGACAAACATCAGGATACTTCTCCTTTATGATGATGAGTGTGGACAAACATAGTATGATGATGACGGTGATCATGTTGAGCATTATACCCAAGGGTCTGCTGAACACCGAACATCGTTACGCACAACTAGCTTGGCAATGATGGGTCTAGGGGAATCGAACTGCCTGGAGATTCACATTCGCATGTGTGGGTCATATATAGGGATGTACTACACGTTCGTAATTAGACAATGATGGGCCTAAGGGGGTGAACTACCTGGAGATTCACACTCACATGTGTGGATCGAATATTGGATTGTACTACACATCCGTAGTTAGACAATGATGGGTCTAACGGGGTGTGAACTGCCTGGAGATTCACACTCACATGTGTGGATCGTATATAGGGATGTACTACATATTCGTAGTTAATCCGGACTGGAGGCCACCCCTAGTATGAAATAGAGATAGGTCCATTTACAGATGACGATGACATCGCGAGTAGAGGCCATGGCACGTGCATAAGATAGAAGCATATTTAATTTTCTAGATTTAGGTTAGAATAGGTTTTCTCGCATTTTATATGTTTTAAATTATTTCTTATTTGTTTTATTTGTATTTTCTAGTATTATGTGTTGACCACGTAACACCATGGCATGTTTTCAAAGATGTAATTGTTTTAAATTCTCGAGATTCTGCTATAAATGATGTTCCTTTAAAGGTTATATTTCACATATGAATTAATCATAAGATGTTAGTAGCGACTTTGAGTAAGTAGAAATTTAGGGTCGTTACATCGTTTTTCATTAATAACTCACATTTCTAACTTAAATAAACTTAAACATGGAAATAAGACGCTATACTGAACTTAATTGCATTAATTAAGATCAAATTCAGCTCTGGGAGAGTAAAAAAAATTGTAGAAATCAATATCAAAATATCTATACGGAGTCGAATGACCGAGTTTTGAGCCGAGAAGCTGCACCTAGTCGAGCTGAGCCGTGTTGAGAGAACTGAGCTAAAGGCATCAATGTATGCATACATGACACATGTCGCTTTGGGGAGAAGACATGTGCATGAGTTCGGGCCGTTCTCTCAGGTGGTTCCCTTTGTTCGCAGGTTGTGGTTGGTACTAGGCTCGGTTCGGCTGAATAGTTACAGTAGGCGGAGCGATCAATGTTGTAGGTGGGCCAAGCATTACAAGTGGGCATCGGGGCTTTGTAGGTTGCTAGTGGCCAAGGCTTGGGTTTGTCATAATTCAAGCTCAAGCAACCGATTGTAATCAAAGTTTACCAAAATTTGACCAAACTCAAGTGTATGTGAATTTTCTGAAACTTTTCTCTCTCTTCTCAAGAGCTTATGGTCATTGACTTTTGATCCCTCCTTCCTTTTTCATATCTTTCCTCCCTCTCCCACGACTTCATGAAGCAATAGATGTGACTACCATTGCAGACTGTATTGTGTTTCGGTTTTCCAAAACACCCGATGCTCACTGAAAATTTTTCCCTATGAATATGATTTCCTTATGTCGATTTTTTTCTCTTTGCTTCCTTCTCCAACTGATGGAGATATCTTTTGTATAACAAGGGGAGATTGAGGGCGATTTTAAAACGAGAGGTGGGGGTTTCAGTTGCCTTCGTCGATTATGTTCATCAAAAAACTATAATGACCGTTCATCTTCTCTCTATTTCTTGGCATTGGGGAGGGTGTGTGGGTAGAGGGTGCAAGGACTAAGTGACTAGATTTTTCTTTCTTTTTATTGGTAACCATACCAATACAGTTGGAATTTGAAGTAGAATTTATGGAGACCACATTTTTTGGTAAACTTTAATAACAATCTTTGACATGATTAGTTCGAGTTCGAGATGTTTTGGCTAGATAATGAAAGTTAATCAATATGTTATAAATTGTAATAAGTTTTGATTTTATTTGGGTATTTGAATTAGATTTGATTGGTTATTTGGATTAGATTTATTGAGTTATTCGAATTAGATTTGATTGGGTTATTTGAATTCCATTTAGTCCTCATCTTATGGGAGATTTGATTCTATATAATAGCTAATTTTATTCTTTAACAAAATGAGAGATTTCTCCCTCCATTACTAATTAGTGATATCAGGATTTGGGAGAGTTTTGGGTGTCACATTGTATTTGTTAGTGACATATTTACTTGTAACACTTGATTTATTAGTGATTGGTTGCTACCCGTGGATGTAAGGGAACTTCTTCTCTCTGAACCACGTAAATATCTTGGTGTCTCTTTGTGTAATTTCGTTTATTGGTGTTGTGAGTACCTTTGTTCCGCTTTCGGCGCACAAGATAAGAATGCTGGGCACTGCATTTGAGGGGTTGGTGAGAAAGAGTTTTTCTTTATATAATAGTCAAACAAAATCCACGGGAGTTCTTAAACCAAACCATAACCTTTTCCTTTCTTTAGAAGTATGCTATCCCGATTGGGAGAGAAAACCCTAAGTTTTGGGATAAGTTAGGTATGATAGATAAATAAAGCCTAACCTAACCAATGCCCTCAATATCCCTTCAGTCTTTTGGTTTTTCTTTTAATAGAGTTTTAAAGTAAAAATCTATGTTTAAAATTGGTTAAAAATGTATCTTCTTTTCATTATATATACCTATGCTTCAAAAGGATCCAAAAGAAACCCAAACAAATTTTAAGTCCTTTAAAAATGAAGGCCATGAATAATCTCTATATGATTTTGTTGTTTACTTTTGCATCAATTTCTAATTTTTTCATTTTGCAAGTCAATATCCAGAACCACATTGGAAAGTGACGATTTTTAATAATCGAGACGTATCTTTACTGGTCCATTGTAGATCAGAAAACGACGATTTAAGTAAATAAGGGTGTTGC